CAAGCTTTTGAAATCACTTCATGTATCTGTTTGACAAATATTCTTATGCATGACCTGGATTATCTGTATTTGGGCAGGTGGATAGTTTACAGGTAAAACTGCTTGAAAAGTTAGAGCAATCTCTTGGAGACCTTCAGCTTAAAACAGAAGATATTGAGAATGCATCCATGGAGTCTAATGATCCTAAACAGGGAAAAGTTTCTAACTTGGTTCATATTACTGCTCATGAGGTAATGAACTAGCTTTTTTTTTTTAAAAGAAAAATCTTTATATATGGCTTGTTGGATAGGTCTTCCCTGACATCCCTTAAAATGTAAAAGAAGCTCGGGGAGTGGGGAGGGGGGGAAACTGTCATCTAGATAGATTAATGAGGACTCTTGTTTCCAATTATTTAAAATTAGGGTTCTGTACGTGGGTTCGCAGAGGCTATCAGTGCTTATCGAGTAATATTTCCCGAATCAGAAGGGCAACTTATTAAACTTGCTCAAGACTTGGTTGTCAAGTAAGCACATCTTAATCAGATATCCCATTACAAGTTGTATCTCTATTGTTTCTCTGAATGCAAAGCATGGAACCATTTTACTCACTTGTCGCCTTTCTTTAGGCACTTTGAAACTACTGAGCAATATGTAAAGGGACGGATTTCTTGTGCCAATCTCCTGGGTATTCTTCGTAAGTAGTGTGCATTTGGTTTTTCTCACCTGTTTTTCATGATTACAGTAATGGTTCTCCTAATACCAAACATTATTAATAAAAAATTCTATCATTATCTACAAATGCACATTTTACAAGTGTCTGAGAGCCATATAATTTTTATCTTCCTTGACATTGGAGATGTCTTTAGCATTTTGTATTTGATAGAGGAAAGAGAGTGCCCTAGATGTTAGTACTTGTTGAGCTTATGTCTCAACTAGAACTGAGGCTTCTTTGTGTCCATGAGAAAATCGATCCTTGATACCAGTATATGCTTGAAATTTGTTTATTTTATTTTTTTTGGAATAATTCAAACAATGCATTCATTTATAGTATTTATTTTCTTTGTATTTTGAATCTTTGATTTGTTTAACCTTTTTCTTATTGATTGCTAAATCCTTTGCAGGGACTATTGGGACAGATGTGCTTCTAATGGATGAAGTGTTAAGTGAGGCTGTTCTACCTGGTTTTTCTCTGGAGGTTTCTTGAATTTCATTTGAAACCATTGTATTTTTAATCTATATTTCATATCTTTATCCTCTAATCCACGAGTAAATATATACTTTGTTTTCATACCAAGGATGATGCTCCATCTAATGATACTCTATGTGGTCTCAGGCTGCCCAAATTGCTCTTAAACAGCATGTTGCCAGCACATTTAATTACTTCTACAGGACATATCAGGTTTTTTTTTTGTTGCAATTTCTGCTTTTGAAAATATTTTACACTTTTGGAGTTTCAAATCACTTAGAATAATAAAATAGTTGCAGTCTACTCATGATGGGCATGCTATTGCTTTTACCCATTTCCTGATAGAGGTCCAAAGAAATCTCATTAATCTATTCTCAATTTTTAAAAGTTCCAGTTCACTAGAAATCTAATTATGTAATTAACCTAAAGCTAGCTTAAGGAGAATCATATTTACGATCGGCCACTCAACTATTGCTATTCTAGAATTAATATCTGTAGGTTCATCATTAATTCTTTCAAAGGCATGTTAAGTTGACAGTGTATGAAAACAAGGGGTGCACTAAGTGTTAAACCATACATATTTCTAGATTCTACATGAACTTCTAATTTTGAAAACTGATTGTTTTTTATTGATGTAGATTTATCTAATGAAAATTACCTTAGAAGTCTGAGTTCATTCTGTTCAATTTGCAGATGCCCTTCTGAGAGTAAATGTTAATTCAAAAGAGGCAGTAGAGGAGCACCCCTTGCAAGTTGCTTTGGAAGCCAGCAAAAAAGCTGTGCTTCAGGGAAGCATGAATGTCTTACTGGTAACTCATTAGATGATGGAGCAACTCTTGTTTTATGCATGGAAAAACAACTCAAACTTGCATCCCTATGCTTTTCATGTAAATAATGGTAGTCCATTTTTATGTTGCTTCTCTGCATATCTCTTACTAGGATGCATATAAAGACTTTGTAAAGGCCTGGAATAATTTCTAGATTGAAAATGGCCTCAATCTCTGCTTGTCATTTTTGGGTTATATATTGCTGTTTTTCTTTTTGCCCCCAGGCTATTTTCTTCTGCATCTTTTATATTTTCATTATTCTTTTGCATAATAATTTTTAATGTAAATGCAGTGTATTCTTTGCATTTCACTTTAATCTATTTACTACTGCAGGATTTCCGCCAACTTCTGATGATGACCTAGGGTTGTTAGTTCAATTGAGAGATTTCATAATTGATTGGGTTCAAGAAGGATTTCAGGACTTCTTTAGGGCTCTTTATGATCATTTTCTCTTGCTTTCGGGAAGAAAGAGTTCATCCAGTCAAGATCAAGGTTTGAGAGAAGGAACATGGTGAAAAAGTTCTTGCTGGTCTTGTCCTGGTTTCTGGCTCAACTTTCCGTTTTCATTGAGCAAACTGCCATCCCTAGAATTACCGAGGTTTGACCTAATAATTTGATCTTACCAGCTGACAGTCATTTCAAAATGTGAAGTGGAATAATTCTAGTACTTTCTCCTCTTTCTGGGCTTCAGTCATATTTTTCATGTTTTATTGTTAGGAAATAGCTGCTTCCTTCTCTGGTGGCGGTGCTCGAGGCTATGAAAATGGTCCTGCTTTTGTTCCAGGAGTGATATGTCGAATATTTCGATCAGCTGGTGAAAGGCTTTTGCTTCATGTAGGAATTCTTTCTTTACTTTTGAAAATTTAGAACTTATTGCAACTGTGGGATGTGTTCTATCCCATTTCAATTCATCAGTTTGGAAAATTGATGATTTGATGCCATGCCAGTTTTCTCAAGGGAGCGCATAAGTTTAAATTGATGGTTTTATTATTTGGCATTTGATGGAGCATTCGAGATATCTTTTTCCTTTTTCAAGCAAGGCAGGTATCTCATTGTTAACAGTTCATTTCATTTTGCAGTATATAATATGAACTCAAAAGGTATCAACTCTTCTAAGAAGAGGTTTACAACACCAAACTGGGTCAAGGTTAGTAAGCTGTACTATAATTCGCCATTTTGAAAGAAATTCCTGCTACAAAAATGATTCAACATTAAACTTCTCAACAATTTTTTGTTTTTAATATTTGCAGCACAAGGAACCTAGAGAAGTTCATATGTTCGTTGATTTGTTTCTTCAAGAGGTTAGCATTCATATAAATTTTTCAGTGGACGATGATATAGATTTCAATTCCTTTTCCTGTACATTCTTCTAGATGCATAGTGCTTAACCTCAAGTTTCTCTATACTAGTTGAAGGAAACAGCAAGTGAGGTGAAGCAGATTTTGCCTCAAGGGCTCGCGCGTAAGCACCGGCGCTCTGACAGCAATGGAAGCACTGCCTCATCCCGGAGTAACCAATTACGAGATGATAAAATGACTAGGTCAAATACACAGAGAGCCAGGAGCCAGCTCTTAGAAACACATCTAGCAAAATTGTTCAAGCAAAAAGTTGAAATTTTTACTAAAGTTGAACATACACAGGTATGACCTATGAATGATTGTGCTAGTAGAAATATATCCAGTGCTTCTGTTGAAGCAAAATGAAGTGGGTTTTCACTCTTGCAGGAGTCTGTTGTAACAACCACAGTAAAACTTTGCCTTAAAAGCTTGCAAGAATTTGTCAGACTCCAGACCTTTAATCGAAGTGGTTTCCAGCAAATTCAACTGGATATTCAATTCTTAAGGACTCCTTTGAAGGAGACTGTTGAAGATGAAGCGGCGGTTGACTTCTTACTTGACGAGGTAGTAGAAATATTACAAACTTTGATATTTCCATATCCCATAACTAGTGATAACAAAAATGAAGGCGTGGGTGTTATTTCTGTTTGTTAGGTGATTGTTGCTGCATCCGAGCGTTGTCTTGACCCGATTCCTCTAGAGCCTCCAATTTTGGACAGACTTATACAAGCTAAGTTAGCAAAATGGAAGGAACAGAATCCAATTACCACCTAGAAATTGAAAAGTGAAAATGGTAAATGGCACTGATTGATTGTTGCCTGGACTGAATTTTCTAGATGTGATTCAGTGGTGGAAGGGGAAGGTTCATACTCATCCCTAAAGAGATTCATGTTCAGTTGGCTACTGCACACATCTTAGAATACATCGAAACCGCGTTTGTAACCAGATGATCTGATTCAACTCGGTTTCTGATTGTATGACTCAATTGAATCATTTTTTAAATAAGTCAGCTTATGTACAACAACAAATGCTTCATAGCGCTTCTCGTCTATCATGGATATCTCATATACATTAAAATCATTACGTCTTCATGAAAGTTGCTTCGATCCACTTTCTTTTACTTGTGTTTTCGAATTTCCCTTTATACTTGACTGCAGAAGACTACAGATTTGCACGCAATCCAAGCTTTATTTTGCAGGAAAAATAAACATGATTATTATTGGTAATCTTATATTATTTAAACAGATTAGGTATTAGTTAACTGGGATGGAAGTGCAGAAGGGTTATATAAGTCGATGTTCAAATGAATTCTCCGATGAGGAATGTTTCCTCAATTTTGAACCAAATTAATTTAGACCTGAATTCGATCCAACCTCATCCTTCAAGTTCGGATGGAGTCTCCCCAGAACCGGGTCGAGACAAAGGAAGTCACTTCAATTCAGATCCAAAGTCCAATTGTTAGCCTGCGTCCCCCTGACAAATAGTTGAGTTAAAATTAATGTTGATGTGGGCTTCATACGGTTAGTGCAGGCATACTAATTAGAGTCCTTAAATTTGTTTGGTTTCATGTTAATCAAAATTATTTCTTTCAATTATAGTACCCTTCTTGCAGATCAAATTGCAGCGGTACATGTTTTACAAATCCTAACATAAAGATACACCATGAGATCAATCAACCATTGCTTTTTCTTTGGATATTTTCAATGACTTCCATCAGTTCTTCCGACTTCAAAGGTTTAACCAGGTGAGCATCCATCCCAGTTTCCACTGCCTCCTCGCCATCTGTATGAGCCGTTAACACGATGATTGGGATATGAACACCATATTTTTCCTCCTCTGTTCTAATTAGTCGCGTCGCTTCGTAACCATCCAATGGGAACATCTATCGAAAAGCGTACCAAAGTAATATCAAAGCTCAATCTCAAATTACCAGGTGTTAAAAGTTATGCAGTTATGAGAAATCATATACATTACCCGACAATCCATTAATATTTTAGTCATAAGGAAGACCTTTTGTCTGAGTTCTGAGACCACTACAAACTAGTTCTACAGCTTCATTTCCATTTACACAGTTCTCAACATCAGCGCCGAGCTGTCTAACAGTAGTTGTAGCAATGAAGCTTAGCATTTTGTTATCCTCGGCAATCAAGATTCGTTTCCCGAACAACGGCTTCCCAGTACTCGAATCGGCATCATGTCGACGAATCGGAGATATTTTTGACGTCACCATACCATGAGTACGAACTAGTGAAGGCGAGGAAGAGGAACGTTTCTTGCTATACCGCTCATCACTTGAGCTACCGTATTCTAGTATCTCCACACTATGCTGAGAATTTCTCAACCTTGCTTTGTTATAAGCATGCTTTGAACTTTCTGGATTACCTGAAACTCCCTGTGACGAGGCAGCTCCGAATTCGGGAAGCAGTTTAATGACTCGATGCAAACGAGAGCCATGGAAAGGCTGTAACAGAAATTCATCACCGGGGTCGAGCCTTATCGGATTGATCATACGTGCGGTCGGTTTGTCTAACCAGACCACCTTACAACATGTACTCTGAAGACCTCTTCGGAATTCAGCCACAATCCTCCAGAGCTCGAAAAACTGCCCTGCATTGACATCAATCACAAGTAGTATGAAGCTCAGTGCATCCCGTCTTCTGTTCAACGGTAACTTAAGGTCATTTCCATCCATGGCACTTAGAGGCATATCCTTGGAACTCAAACTAAAGTTGTCACTCCTGCCACTCATATCTGATTTCCTTGAAGAATGGTGAATTTAGCTTTAATTGTATCTTCTTTAGTGCAGCAGGAAGATAGTTGCATTGATCTACAACTGATACACTTATTCCAAGACCCTCCATAAAATTTTGTGAAACTCTTCGCCTTTTGTTGTTTTGCATAAAGAGAACGACTTGAGATTTGTCCGAAGTTCGAGCGGCAAAGCTTGGACTAGGAGGTTGGATGGCATCACCTCGAGCCTCCTTGTCACCTTTTAAATTGCTGATTGAATCTGAAGCAAGTCCCCTTTTCACCAATCCCATTATCATCGATTCTGATCTCTCCGCCCATTAGCCGTACCTAACAAAGTAGGATCTGAGTTAGTCATCCGTGCATAAGATGAAACGTACTACGTACGTACGTTTGTGTGCATGTATGTAAACTGATTTAATAGCAAGAAACTAAACTTGTGCTAATATTTGTGACTTACCAAAGATTGAACAATTCCAAGGCCTAAGCCAGTGTCAACTTGTCCTGCTGCTGTTTCTTTAACCTGAACATGGTTTTCAAACACAGACTTTTGATTCTCTTGGGGAATCCCTTTACATGTATCGTCAACCTCGAACACAATCTCCACGGAATCAGGAATCTGTCTAACTGCACTTATCCCTTTCGCATTGCCGCTGGCTTCATTCTTGTTGTTAAACAAGTAGGACAAATACTTGTGAAAACCTTTCCGGTTAGATGCAAGCATTTCAAAATCAGGCTTTCGGACCCAAGCTCTAAGGCATACATGTCCTTCAGCAGTAAATTTAACAGAATTGCTTAGCACATTACTTAATATTTGCATGAGTTTCCCCCCGTCACCTTTCACTTGTGTGAGCTTGATAATAGATCCATCACAAGGGTCCAAAACAACATCAACACCCTTGATCATACCCACATGATGATACAAATCAACTACATGTTCAACCAGTTCGGCCAAATTAAATTCTTGTTCTTCCAAATTCATCATGCCAGCTTCGATTTTGCTTGTATGAGTATAGAATTAAGCAACCTTGTAAATTATATGCAACTAATTTGTGCCAAATACTAATAAGTTTTCCGAGTAAAAGGCAAGGGAACTAATTTACCTAATAGATCTTGTGCACAATGACTCATTTGCTTTAAATGCTACTCGAAATTGGACCCAGGAGCTGCATTCGTGAGGCATAGATCGATGAAACCATTAATGCCAGCCAACGAGGCTCGGATATCATGGCTGGCACCAACCAAGGCAAGGCTTTTGTTCATGCTTTTTCTCTCGGCTTGTTGAGTCGCTTCCATTTGTTTTATGAGCTTGTCATGCAGGCACATCTCCCTTTGAGCAGCGCTGCCCATTGAGGATATAAAAAACACAAGTGCAATCAACAGAAACAAAATCGCTGCTAGAAGAGCAATGTGAGAATGGTTGATTTGCTGTGCACAAGGCTTGCTAGTCCTTTTCGAGGTGATGCCAATGCATATACCTGAAACCAAACCGAACCGAAACATGTTAAATACGAACCGGATACCAATACTTCAGAGAAATGAAGAATGCAGATAGAATAAAAACCGAACATACCGATTGCACTCCGGCGATATCAACTGCTGAACAAGTAACACTATACTCTTTTTCACCAATGTACAATATATGGATTTCTGGGGTAGTGCATGAAACATTTTGAGCACCACTTGGATTCATTATCCGTAAGACAATGGACCTATTAACCGAGATGAATTTGCTGTTTGGGATTCCATCAACCATCAATTTACCATCCATTGTAATCAAGCTTAAGCTTCCTCCCTAAAGATCTAAACCCGAAGAGATATCGGTTCATCGTTTAACCGGAACTCCAATGGAAATAACACCTCTTCCAAGCATGCCAACACTGGTAAGAAACGAAAGTTCACCAACACTTTTCCACCTGTTTTCGACAGAAGAATATCCCCATGAATCATGCAATGCTGCTCGAAACCAGCTTGTATTCACAACATTGAAGCCATGGAATCTAATAGCTTCTCCAGAGCTTTCCTGTGTGAATATCTACTGGTTGCTTGTACCAAACAAACCGCTTTCGGTTCGAAGAAGACGAAGAGTTAGCATATGCTGATAGAGTTTGATGTCCATCAAAATAATAGGAAAAAACAGACCCTCTGATCCAACATATGAAATCTGAGACAGATTAGGAATGGTTGAAAATGCTAGAAACAAAGAAGGAGCCACCTGCAAACAATAATTAACATTCCTAGTTATATATCTTCCAATTTCGGTATCGAAAAAGATTGCAGACAGAAGGATATACATAATACACAATACACCTTATTCTCAATATCAGTGAATGAGATTCCATCAGTTTTGTTGAAGGAAGAACTCAGAAACATGACTAAATTTGCAGCAGATGAACTCAATGGGGGTTTTGCTTTTGCAATGGTGTCAATTTGTGATAGAAATCCAGAATGCAAGTTCTGGGTGTTCAAGTCCACATTTTCTCCGATTTGTCTTGTTGTTTTGTACCACCTTGTGATCACTAAACTTGGAGGTAACAATACCAGCAATGCCTGCATTAAAAATCCAGAATCATGAACAAAATTAATCATTAATATTTACCAAACAAAGCCTCAAACAGATTCTTCACTTGTACAATGCAATAACTAAGCATCTAATAATGAAAAACAAAGACTAAAAAGAAAAGCTACGCGCCATCACTTAAAGGAATAGTATAGAAAAATACCAGAGGGATGACGACGGTGACAGGCCGTGACGCGATCAAAACGCTGAGCTTCATTATGAACAGTTTCTGCATTATGAAGGAATCAACAAGAAAATCTGGGTAAAAACCAGCTTTTTTTTTACATTGTAAAGATCAATTCTTCTCTTTGTTTTTCCTTTCAAGACAGTAAATCTCCGATGGTTAATCACTTTGAACTTTACCATGGGAAATCTCCATTGATGTGCAGAAAAATCCATTATCAATCTCAGTCTCCTTAAATTACTGTTTCCTTTTCTTTGCATGCATATTAAATACGTATAATTGTATTTTAAAGAAACGCAATCTCATCTTATTATCTTTTCCTTAAATAAAAAGATTCTCTTATTTTAACTTTTAATTCTCATCAAACATATATATTCTTTGAAGGACAACACAATAGACAGAAGAATGAACTGAGCTTGCAATCAGAAAACGAAAGAAAATGAAAGGTGAAGTGAAGACCCGACAGATAACTGAGTACTGCACAATCAAAGGGTGTTTCTGTTGAAGAATTCTTTTGGAACGTTTGAAAAATATGAATAAAGACAATGGCTTAAATAGAGAGGGCATGCACGTTTGGCTTCATGCAGAACTCTGCTATTAAATTTTTAGCCTTTTTCTCCCAAAACAACAATACCAGCACACGGTAGTTATATAATTAAACTGAATTTTGGGTTTATTAATTATGGTTTTATCCTCAACAGAGACTTAACACTTCTCAATTTATGTGTTGGTTAGGTAGTTTTTATGTTTATTTAATTTTATTGTTCACTCTATTTAAATAAATGAATATTCGAATATCAATGATTATTAATATTATAGTATCACACGTGTTTTTATTATAAAATTCTAATACGATACGAACAACACGTGTTCGTTATGATACGACACAATTAATACGTTTTTATTTTTATGAAAATATTATTATGCTAAATTAAATAGATTTATTTTTATAAAATACTTTTTTATGAATTAAAGTTACATAGAAGGATATAAGGTGATAGTTCGTGATTGATCAAAAGATGTGAATTTAGGTTCGAATAAATTATGTATTTTTTTATATATTTTTTTGTGTATATTTTTTTTATAAATAATAGGAAATATGGTAATTGATGACAAATATCTAATACGATATTTTCATAAATAAAGAAGGATTTGTTAAATACTTTTACTATATATGTATGTGTACATGGAGATAGAACCTATTATTACACGCACAAACAAATTATTGTACATAAAAAGAGTAAAAAAGTGTTCAATCTTTTTTTATTATTAATAATTTGCATTTAATATATTGATTGATATTATGAACTGGAGTTTTGAAATATGAATCAGAGCATGAAGTTCCATAAATATCCCTCCCTTTATCTTAATTTAAATTTATTTTACTATTTAAATTGGCTTTTGTTTATTTTATCTTATTTTTGTTATTTTCTTTTGAGAAGGAAGACTGAGTAAAAAATATTTAATTTGAAATTTAATAAGTACAAAATCTTTTAATTATATTCTTAAATAAAAATTAAAAAATTAAAAACTTCATAATAAAACCATAAATGAAATCTTTTCAACTTTAAATCTTGAGAATGTCAGCTTTTTTAGGGGAAAATTATAAAAATTACATTTTAAGTTTTTTAAAAAGATTATCTAGAAAAACAAATTAAAATATATTAATTTCGTTAACACCTATCAATGACTTTAAAATTTAAAATAAATTCATCAATTTACATCAACACAGGAAGATTTTATTAAAATCATATTCTTTCGAGACGATTTTGATATTCTATGTAAACTTTAATCTAATTTTTAAAATAATTCAACATGTTAAATATATTCTTTTTCTATATGGCGAAAATGGTTAAGAAGAGCGTAAGTAATTTTTAATCAAAATAAGTAAAAGGGTAAACTACGTAAAATTATCACTAATGTTTGACTAAGTTTTGATTTTACCACTGATGTTTAAAAAGTCACAAATCAGTCACTAACATTATCGTTTGTTATAAATTGGTCAATCAACGTTAAAAGCGTTTAACAGGCGTGACGAACAACACAGTTGGCACGTTAACTGCGTACATGGGCTGAGTTAACTGGGTTGACCGCCATGTTGGAGACCCAAAAACCTTCAACGGTCACTTCTTCTCCTTTAAAAAAACTCAATCCCTATACTTAATTTAGGATTTTTCATTTCAATCTCTATTCTTTAAAAAAAAATCTAAAAATTGTAAGAGAAGAGAAATCTTGTGAAGTTGAAAAACTCAATTGATGTTTCGCTTTACAATTGTGGATGCCCAGATAAGGTTTTATTTTTTTTTTTATTTTCTATCAAACCCGAAAGAAACTATAAAGCATAGTGTTATCCCCCATTTGCAGTAACCTCCATGTAAGTACGATGATTTTTCTTTTCTCGTTTTTCTCACTACTTTTTTACTCAGATGAACAAAAGAATAATAAATGGGTTTTTGGAAGAAGAAGAAATGAGTTTATGGAAGAAGAAGAAACGAGTTTATGAAAGAAGAAAAATGGGTTTATGGAAGAAGAAACGATGAGTTAATGGAAGAAGAAGAAAATGTTTATGGAAGAATAAGAAATGTGTTTATGGAAGAAGAAGAATGATTCAAACTGATAAATGAAACCCTTGATACCCCCTTATTAATTAATTAATTAATTATTAATTACATATTAGTTCAAGCACCGGTCAAAGGGATTCCAATAGTCCTCCAATGTGGAGGTCAAAAGTCCATGTAAACAGTTAATACGCTAGCTGTGTTTTTCGTCATGCCTGTTAACGGATGTTAAAGTCGAGTGACCAATTTATAACAAACGATAATGTTAGTGACCAATTATTCAAATACCAATGATTAATTCAAAGATAATTATTCCTAGTACAAACTAAACATCTTAATGATTAAAGAGATTGTTGTTGTGCTTAAAAGTTATGGGTTCAAGCAGAATATCAATAGGGATGTTCGAGCCTTTATTATCAAATAATTTTATACAATTTAATGGTCATTTTAATCTTTATAATATAATATATAAATATTAATGGAATCGATCAAATTGAGCGAATGCTTGCTCTGAATCAAACCTAACCAAGACTGGCATTAGTTGAAGTTTGAGAGTGTTTAGTTGGTGATGCAAATGATGAAGTACTTGTCCTGGTTTGCCTGAAACGAAATCATCTGAAAGAGACGGGCAGATGGCAAGGTGCATGTGGGGACTAATCAGAGACCTGGTAAAACAAACTACGTAAACAATACCGTGTCCCCTATACCAAAGCCGCATACTTTTTCTTACCCTTTAATCTTTGGTTGGACATCGTTTTCTAAAGCAATATGGTGCTTATGGCATAATGTTTACCAACTTATGCTCTTGTTTTTATCCAATTAACCACTCCCGACCCATTCCTCATCATTCTCGCATATCTTTGTATTAATCACTCTCCACTCTATATTATTGTTTATCATCTCTCTCAAAAGAAATCACCGAGACCAAATCAATTGTCCATTATATAAGTGATAATTACGGCAAAAATAATTGTATAATAAAACAAATTATCAGAATTTTACGTTAAAAAAATTAAAAATAGAAAATCATAAATAATATATAAAAATTATTAATATAAACAATAACAAGAATATAAGAAAATTATGATTATGTACGACTTTTAAGATTTAATTGATTAACTTCTAACACTAATCTATATTATATATATTTATTGAGATAATTGATTGATTTCAAAGGAAATTTTATACCAATAAATCATGCAATTAGATTTATTTTTGTTTTACAAGGGAGAGATGTACTCTATTCTATGCGATTAGAATTTTTATTTTTAGTCAACGTCTAAATGAAATATATATATATATATATAATATTATACAGATTCAACGTGTGGCAAGATTTATATTACGAGGTTTCACCTCACACTCCGACAACATCAATCTTGAGCTATTATCAAAGGCCTTCGACCTGCAAACATATTCACATATTCATCCATTATATATCTATATTTTTTAATTTTATTTTTTTCACCAATTGAATTGCATTATAAATTTTTCGAGTGATGAAATTCATATCACATAAATTTAATAAATATATTTATTTTAAATTTTCAAAATCAATAATCAAATAAATTCATTTAATTTAATAAAATATTTGTACTCACCCTTGATCAGAGTTCAACCTCCTGTTGAAGGTTAAGTTAAACTCCTCCATCACGTTACGCGCAAATTGAAAGCATTGAATTTGTAAATATAGGTTTAAACCATTTTTTTGTAACTTTGGATTCACGCCAACAACGTACATAAGACCTACACCGGGAACCCCACACGCATCCATCCATCACCGTTGGACCAAATCTTGTACACCAAGTATTATATAAGTGAGATGAAACAAGAGGCACGCCCTATATATGGCAGCCCAACCGACCCCAAATTCTTACGTTGCGGTTCAACAAATACCAGCTCCTCCTACACCCTTCAGATCCTCAACAATTCCCCAGCATAAATTGCTTTCCATACCCTTTCTTTACCTTTAGTTTTCTTTCTTTTTTATGCATTGAAAATCTATCATTTATGGGTAATTACTTTAGTGCTGTCATATGCGGTCCATCTGATACTTCCGGGAAAGTGATTCTCTGGGACGGATCGATCCAGCAGTTTAGCTGCCCTTTGACGGCGGCGGAGTTGATGCTCGAGTATCCGCAACAGGTGGTGGCGGAGTTCCACGCGGCGGTTAATGGTAAGAGGCCGGTTCCATTACCGGCCGATGAGAAACTCGATGTGAAAAAGGTTTACGTAATGTTGCCCGTGAATCGAGGGAAACCGATCACGTTGTCATCGGAGGATGCTCGTCGTGTACTAGCGAGTGCGAACGCTGTGTTGAGATCGAAGTCGATATTATCGTTTTCTAGTTTACTTCCTTTGTTTGCCAGGATTTGCCATGTGAATCATATGCAAGAGACGGGACAAAAATACCCGTTTCAGGAAAAGGGTACCGTCCGCGAAAGGGTCGAAGAAATAGGTTGTTTGACGGAATTATTACCGGAACGTATGGAAGGCTTGCCGGAGTATTTCAACCGGCAATATTCAGGCAAGGGATGGAAACCAAGTTTGGATACTATAAAGGAGAAAAAATTTGAGAGAAAGGTATCCCACTGGTTGTATTAGAAGTCGGGACGGCGTAGTGAGAGACAAATTAGAACTATGGGCAAACTACACATGTGAACACTTAATTATGAAGATGTTTTAATTTTATCACTTATCTTTCAACCACTGGTGGTCACACATCAATATGTGGCGTTTGGTTCGTTGGAATGTTTACGAGGGAATTGAAATCTGTCACGAATTGAAATCCAATTCCATATTCTGTTTGGTTGGCAGGAAATTGAATTGGAATCCAATTCCATATTCTGTTTGGTTCGTAGACATGTCAAATGAATTTGATTTCAGTAATGTAAAATGACATGATTGTCTTTCTTGTTTTTTTTTTGCTTAATTTTAGTTTGTTTTATAAATTACATGTAACAATATATTATAAAAATTTAAAATTTAAAAAATATTAAATATTAATTTTATTGATTGATTATTCATTTCAATAAATTATAAAAATCATACTAATAAACATCAAAAGTTAAAATTATTCCAATTAGGGTCGGGTTTTTTGTCCACCCGACCCGACCCGAGAACTAGGGAACCTCCATCCGAGACCCGACCCGACCAAAATAAAGTTTCACCCGACCCGACCCGAATATATGAATTAGAAACCCGACCCGGCCCGAAATAATAAAAAATTATTTTTATTCAATAAAAACAGTGACTTAATTGAAAAAAAATTATATATAGAGGAGTATTATTGTAATTATTCCTAAATATATAAGGTAAAATTATATTTTTTTTGGCCGGGTCGGGTATTTTTCACCCTAAACCCGAACTCGACCCGACCCGAATATCACACTTAAAAAAAACCGACCTGACCCGACCAAAATAAAGTTTCACCCAACCCGAATATATGAATTAGAAACCCGACCCGAAATAATAAAAAATTATTTTTATTTAATAAAAAATTATTTTTATTTAATAAAAACAGTTAATTGAAAAAATTATGTATAGAGGGGTATTATTGTAATTATTCTTAAATATATAAGGTAAAATTATATATATTTTCGGGTCTGGTATTTTTCACCCTAAACTCGAACTCGACCCGACCCAAATATCACACTTAAAAAACCGACCCGACCCAATCAAAATAAAGTTGCACCCGACCCGACCCGAATATATAAATTAGAAACCCGACCCGACCCGAAATAATAAAAAAATATTTTTATTCAATATATGAATAAGTTACCAAAAGATTGATGAGGGTAATATAGTCCAATTTCAATTCCCTCCAACAAGGGAATTTAATTCCATCATAGAATGGATGAAATTCACTTTACCTCATTTGATGGAAAGTTGAAGTCATGAGGGATTCCAATTTCCTTTGAAAACTTGAACCAAACATGAAAAAATGGTGGAATTGGATTTCAATTCCCCTAATTCTAAGGGATTCCTGCGAATCAAACGCCACCTTAGGCTCAAAGAGAGTATGATTCAAAAGTTTTGAAATAATTGAAGCTGGCAAGTATTAATACTGGAAGGTGAGCAATTCAAGATTAGGATGATTCACATAAGGCTATGTCCTATAGAAAAATTAGACTTTGTTTCTTTTCTTTATATCCAATATGCAACCACTTACACTTAAAAAAAAGGAGGTTTTAGTTGAGAAATCAAACTAGAGAATTCATATGAATCATCTTTCTTTACTTATCAATTAGATCATATAACTATTTACTTGATGTCAATCAAGTTATTCATCGCTAACATTTGATGAATAAATTGACATGACAGATAACAAAATTGGTATAATAATGATCAAATACGTAAGTAATAATTTTATTAATTGTTATATCAATTTCTCCGTCAAATGTTAGCGATAAGTGACTTCGTTTATATAATTCAAACACTTAAATGATCTAAATGATAAAATTAAAATATCAATAATTAAATTAAAATATTTTCATAATCGAACAACCACTAGTATAGTTTATTCTAAAATTATCCTTTGTATTTGAGAATACAAGTTTAGATATACTATAAAACTTTAGTGAAGGATAGTATAATCTCGATAAAAATAAATATTAATAGATTCATTGGAACACCAATCAATTATCATTAATATCCATTTTATGACTGTTTGGTCTATAATTTTAAGGGGCAAGAATATAACTTTCTTCAATTTATTTGAACGCTTTTAACTATTATTTCATTTATTTTATATCAATAAATTATAATATGCAAGGAGTTATACTTTAATCTATCGGTTTAAGTAATAAGTCCATGCAACTGTTTTCAAATTATGACGGTTTCATCCGTTTTCATTTGTTTCCTTTCCTCTTTTAATGGCATTGAAATGGGCTGACAAATATAGAAACAAAGTGTGGGTGGGTATCAACTTTGCAGCAACCATGTAATGGAAACATGATTAGTCTTGATGTCCAAATATGAATGTATTGATTTTAGCGGCTATATAAGTTGGATGAATTTATTAAAATATTAAATATTCAAGAAATTTCTAACCGAAAATTGTTATAATACAAATTAATTAATACCACCGGATTACTTAATACACATATTTTCTTGTTTTTGGATTACGGATATACGATATGTGCAACGCGAACAAAATGCTGCTGCTGATTTCTTAGCTGGTTAGAGTCGTGATCGGCCGCTTGGAACGTTGAACTACTAGAACCGCCTCAAGAACTGCAAAATCATATTGCAGAATGATATTATGAGAGTTAGTTAGTAATTAGAGTTTTTATTATCAAAAAAAAAAAAAAAATCTTCTTCTCATTTTCACTAGATGTGCTCATGTTAGTTCTTGATAAATACACACGACAGAATCATAGGATTAAAATATTAGTATTTTTTATATAAATTATATAGATGTATATTTAATTTTAAAGATTCTAATTTATCACTAATATATTAGCTTTTTTAATCATGTCATTTATCTATTTGAATGATATTAATTAAATTATTTGTCGTTAAATTTTTACGAAAAAATTAACGTGACAGTTCAATAAATTGTGAATTACATATTTAATATTTATTAATTAAACATTTTATTGATTTGATCTTATTTTAATTTATTCACCGTCATATTAGATAGGAAATAAATTAGAAAATAATATTGAATGAATCAAACATGGGATTTTTGGTGGATTAAGTGTGCCTCGATCATTGGGTCAAATCTCATATTAAAAATATAAATTATAACATTTTTTATATATCTTATACTATAATTAATACTATAAAGAAGAGAAATAAAATTGACCAAATTTTAACTTAAACTTAGGCTGATTAGAAAGTATAGGATTACCTAAATGACTGAATTAAATCTAATTATTTTTGTTTCGGCAAGTCTACACTTCTTACATATGAAAGACCCTCTAAAGAAGCACGCCCATGAAGGCAGTCAACAGAGGGCCTAACAAGCATTCGGCCTGAAAATTTATCTACGTATGGGCTTCTTTGTCTTGAATATGGAGTCCATGGTGACCCAATAATGTTACCACCAAAAGACAACTGCTGAAGCCACCAAGAAAAAACGATATGTTACACGTTTGGTCGTTTTCAGGACAATTTCCTGTCAAGGTAAAACCAAAAATCCAAATGCTTACAAGACGCCGGTTCCTCGTATTCCCCAGTTCAATATGAGCTCAGCTGCCATGAAATACAAAATATCTTTGTTTAGTAACTTTCAAACTCCATTGCCTGCTTCATGACAAATACACTTTCGGACACTCTTTGAATTCAATTCAACGCCACTTTCATTGTTTAACTCGCTGGACATTGTTGGCTCATGTCATTTCACATGAGCTGGACCTTAATGATTTGATCGGATACATGAACACGGATGGGAAATTTCAAAGTCTATACACTAAAATGATGTACTAATTGTTTTCTGCAATTAGAAAGATTTGACCAAAAAGGTTAAGCTCGAGCCAACCTAATGATCTTTAGTCCCTAAACGAGGCCCTGCAACCTATCATGTTCCATGTGCATCGTATTCACAATGACCAGTCCTCCTGCCACATTACGTTGGTGATAATTGGATATACTGATTTTGAGCATGTGCCCAGTGCCAAGACAAATGACATTATATTGAAAATACCCGGAATGGGTCTGATTTTGACTCTTTTAAAAACTACATATTTTGAGTGTGGTGGTGCAATTAAACCAATGAGTTGAAGCGCCATTCATCATGTTCTAGCCTTACCGTCCATACAAACTGCTTCATTTCACCCTCATCCCTTTGGCCACACATAAAATGAACGATGTTGATGCCTTGATGGTTGGTGTCAGGCGTGGAGACCCCTTTCGTTGAAAAATAAACACAATAATTTTGATGTATATATCTCCATTATTATTATTTTGATTAAATCACCATCATTTGTTTTGATTAAATAGAGAAGATTTACATTTTCATGGTGAATATTAGGATTTAAACCCACACAAAATAAGATAACATGAACATCATTGACCACTCGACCAATTAATGGATCTCCTCTCCATTAAAAATTTTAAAATGCATTTTATTTAATAATATTTGTTTATTATTTGAATTAGAATTTAGTCCATTCGAATTGGAGTAAAGAATTATTATCTTAGTTCATATCAAACAATACAAGTCAAAAGAATCACCCAACCTACAAATAAGTTTATTCGTGTAACACTCAAAATATATAAAGTCAAAAGAAATATTTGACCCGTAAATAGATTTATTCCGATAACACTTAAAGAATAATACAAAATTATGCAATAATCCTGATTAAAAAATATTTTTTATTTTTAATAAATCTAAGCTAATTCAATATCAACTAACAACTTTTGGCATGTATTCTCTCATCTAACAAAGGGGTCCCCGTGATGATGCTAGAAGAACTCCCAGGCGTTATTCATTCCTATCCCCCCAGCTCGATGTTGTTAGATAAAAGGGAAAACAATATAGTATCATTGCATTATTATTTTTTGGTAGAAAGTATCATTACATTTTTGGTTGAAGATAATCATACAACAACTACACTCAAGATTACGTTATAATAAATACAATCAATTGTAATAATCAT